AACGCACCAACAAATAATTCAAGGCCTTAAATGCCTACTCAACCAAATGCCCACATAAATTAAATCTGCAACTCAATCCTCCGTTTTTTGTTTTTTTTTGTTTTTTTTTAAACTTGCTCGTCTGTTTATGGAGAGGAGCCAAAAGGGAGTAAAAAAAAAAATTAGATAGAGCAGCAAGAAGAGAGAAAAATTATGAGTCTCAGTTGATCAAGGCTTAAGATCTGAAAAAAAATTAACCTATCTCTGATACCATGATGAAGATACGAAAAACAATTCGTTTCACTCCAAAAACATTGTCATGTAGATTTACAGGAGCCCCAATATATAGATACAAGAGAAGCCCTAAAATAATATAGACTAAATCTCTAAGATATCAAAATCTATCTATACCAAAAGTACAATATTCACAAAATCACTCTAACAAAAACTCTTCATGTCATCTAGCGATCTATGAATTCAGTCAATAGTACAACTTATGTAGTGGCTAAAATTATAAATTGATTGAGTTTGAATGACACTATAGTCTTTATTCATGTATTTTAGGGGTTCTTCAGTAATTCGTATTCTTGTCCCATCATTTGAACGATTTTGAAGAAAGTGGTCGCGAGCTAATTAAATAATTTCAATAACTTCATTTACTAAGTTGTACAATTTGCATTCTTGTCCCATCATTTGAACGATTTTGAAGAAAGTGGTCGCGAGCTAATTAAATAATTTCAATAAAATCATTTACTAAATTACTCGAAAACCTTCCACAAATGAGTTCGAATACAAATTTAAGAGAATGAACGAGAATGAACAATGTTCAATTATAATCTAATACAACCTCAAATGTTCATGTTTGACTTGTTCGGAATCGCTATTGGCATCTTGTTTTAGGCCCAAGAACAAGAATCATATAGGGGTCCAAAATGATGGCTACTATATATATATAAGCCACTGCGTAAAATGCTCAACCGGGTTCACGAGGGAAAAGGCAAGGGTGGAGAAAAGAAGCGCGAAAGAAGCACAGAGAAGTGGGTAGAGTTCTTCACGCCGCCGGCTCTTCGTCGACGGTCCATCTCCGATCAGCGGACACAACTCATACATCCGGAAAGTCGAACTTGATGTCGCTGTTGATGCTCCAAAGAGGTAAATTCCTACTTACTGATCGTCTAACCCCAATTGCTCAAAGGGCCAAATCCGAAATAGTATCCCTTCGGAAATACTTATTTTCGTTATAATAATGGTATGAAACTGCAACCTGAAACAAATTTGATGTCCTCCAGTGGAGGATTCATTCTTCTATTAATTTTGATGGTTAATTCCTATTACCTCATATTGTAATTTGATTTTTTTCAACAATTTTCACGTGAATAGAATGAGTAATCTTTCTATCTCTACAATTCGCTTTTTCTCTGGCGCCCCAGTTTTGCATCACCGTCCGTCCAGGGACTTGCTTTCTATAGCAGCAGTCCTCCCACATCATTATATCTACTGCAGGAAGAGTTTCCACAAGTCATACCATTTTCAAGCGGCCACAGCATCTTATTCGCACCTACGAGAATCCAGCGTGCTGAGAGGGAACGTGAACAAGAGAGAAAGAATGGTGAAGAGTGACATAATTGCAAGAGCAGAGGAGTTGGTGAAATCAGCAATGGGAGGCAATGATGCGTCCCATGACGCAGCCCATGCCTTCAGAGTCAGAGATCTTGCCCTTTCTCTCGCCCGTGAAGAGGGTTTCTCGACTTCACCTGATTCAATTCTCACCGTATGAAATTTTGTGTTTCATTTTTTGATTGGAACTGCATAATTTGATATATTTGGGATTTTGGATTGTGTGTGGTGAACTATGAAGGAAGACGATGTTGATTGCATTTGTGTAAACTGTGAAATCTCGCCAACTGAACAGGGAAATTCTAACTATCTTCTGAAATTGAGGCGTAGTTTCTGCTGTGTTTTGTTGCGGGTTGACTGAAAATGTTTTTCTTTTCCCATGTCTAATTTGTGCTTTTCTGCTTTACCACCTTAGGGATTTTTTTTAGCTTGCCATTGCTTTTTATCCGGTGGACATTGTGTGTTGTGAATGGCATTGTTGGTAAATGTTTATTCACTGACACTTTATTGGTACATTGTTAAGATATTCTGATATAGTTTTTGACTGCTCTCGAAAATATTTGATTTTCAATGGAAGCACCATCGAAATATAAATTTCGGTTTTCAGAAATCTTGTGGTGTTGATAAAGGAAGGTAAAAAAGCTAGCTTCTATGGTGTTTTGTTTGCTTGATATCTGACGATGATCAGCAGAGTCTTAAGATATCTTGCATTGATTTGTGCTGTGTTTCAAATATGGCTAAATATAACGTACTTGTTGAGATTCTATCTTCTTACTCTTCAGGTGGAGTTAGCTGCACTGCTACATGACATAGGTAAAATTGCATTGTTTACCTTTAGTTGCTATAATCTCACTGGCTGATATAATGTAAGAGCAATGCCACTTTTCCATAGTTTTATCTGGTTGACTTCAAAATATTAAGTGGTGGGAACATATTCTCATATTTTCTTGATTGTTGATCTTAGTTATATATATTAAATTTTCTCGACGGATTGTCTCTTTGTTTCCTGGCATCTTTTGGTATTGACCACTACTAAACCACAAGGAGCATCGATATGGCAGTAGACATGAACATACCTCAAAACACAATTCTATGAATTTATCATTTCTGCAGGATTTGGTCAAGCACACTTCTGTTCTCGTACATTATCATTTCTGCTATTGGTACACATGGATAGCATTGCTCATCTTATCTCTTATGGATTTGATTTAAAAACCCGTTACTATATTATGAGAAACTTCTGTGATTTGCAATTGCATTTGTATAATTCTAATAATGGCACTCATTACTACCTTGGTCAGTAAGGTGCACTTGTCTGCTAATCATCAACGTAGTTGCTTATCTAACCTTGATCTATTGATGTGTAATTTTTTTATGTACTGATGATACTTTTGGATACTAATTGCAGGGGACTATAAATATATGAGGTTAGCTTTGTCCTCCTTTGTCTCTTTAATTGTCTGCTTATGTACCTAACATTGCCTGTTGGGCTGTTTCACTTGTATATTACTAACCATGATAAGCAATTTTATTATTTTTGTTACTATTTCATTTAGTTATTTTTGGATTTTTGTTGGAGAAAGAAGTAAATCAACGGAAACTTGCAAGTTTTGTGGTTGCTGAAGAGTGTCTTACCTAAAACTCATATGCGTTGAAATAATGTTATTATACCATAGCTAAGAAGCTAAATCAATTATATTTCTTATCCTAATTGTAGTATTATACCATAGCTAAGAAGCTGAATAAATTATATTTCTTATCCTAATTGTAGCTACAAACGAATGCTTTTAAGTAAAAATCTTAAAATATAGATCAAAATACACAATGACCCTTTTTCTAATTTTTTGCTTTTTATTTGTCCACTTTCTATATCGTCCTTGTTTCTCGCAATTGTTATTATTATCCGTCTTTTGATTTCCACTCAAAATGGTCAGTTTAACTCTTTCCTGTTTCATTGTTATGAAATGTAGAGATCCATCAGAAGGGCAGATTGTTGAGGACTTTCTTGTCAAGGAAGGAGTAAATGAAACTATCAGGTCACGAATATTGGGCATCATAAAGGGAATGGGTACGTTTGTTTTTATGCATATGAAAGGTCGACATTCTTTTTCCAACAGACTTCAAGCAACTTGCATTTAGGTGCATGCATAGAGATGTTTAATGTTTCATCTAGTCATCCTTTTTCTTAAAATGTATCTGGGTAAAAAAGTTGAACTCTTTTGCCTATTTCAGGTTTCAAAGAAGAGGTTGCAGGAGTTACTGGGAGTACTCAATATCCAGAATTTGGGGTGGTGCAGGATGCCGACCGTCTTGATGCGATTGGTGCCATAGGTAATAGTCATTTCTGTTACACATTCGCCATTATCTTGTGTTCCTTGCCTTTTTTTTAATTGAGTGTTTTAAAATTATTTATTTTCTAGTATGTTCTATATATAAATATGCATGTGACATTGTATACCTCTTACCTGTATAAATGCAGAGTTTTTTTTAGCATAAGTGTCAATTTTCTGATTCTTTATAATCCTGTGTAACTGGTACTTTATAACCATGTGTTAAGTTCTGATGCTTGTCCGTTGTTTATGTGAATTTGGACTTTTATCCATACATATTTGAACTTCTAAAAATATAGAACACTTTGTCAACTTAAGTTACAAATATATTCTAAATTTAACAGCCTTTTTATTTGTTATCACATGTTATATAATAAATTAATCATTTTTTGACGATTTGCAAATTGATATCCATGCTGAATATATAAAAACATTATATCTATCATTTATTGTAAAATTATACTAGTATTCGATCGTGTGCACACGCACGCAGATGTAAATAAAATTTTATATGTTATATGTGTGTATATGTAATAGTTAAAATCATAATTTAGATGATGAGCATATCACATTTTATATATTTTAACATTGATAAACATTAATGATATAAATATAAATTATTTAACTTACATGTAATCTTTATATTGATCGCAATAATATAATTTTTATAATTTTGGTTGATTATGACCAATTAGTTAGATAAAACAATATTAAAATTGTTATTATAGCAATTGTGTACAAACTTTTAAGGGGTTTGGTTATGTCATAAAAAAATAAATAACTAAATTTAATAAAAAAATTTAATGAACTAAAAAAAAATAATAGTTTGAATAAATAAATAAAAATATAATTACTTTTTTAAAGAAAAACAAATTAAGGTGCCAATTGATTAGTTATTTATTTATTTTTTCAAATGAAGAATATTACATTAAAAGGTGCAACAATTTTTTGGACAATGAGAATTTCTATAAAAAAAATGATTTGTTATGGAATTTATGTATGATTTATGTTACATATATAGTTGATCAAGACTTCTTTTTTGTGTATTTAATATATTCTGTATTGATTAATTATATATGTTTTTTGGTTGTGATCCATGTGCACATTATCCATTGGAAGAGATAATTGAGATTTTTTTATTTGTCATTTAATTAAGTTTGTATTTTCTTTGTAATGTGATATTAATGTATATATAATTCCTTTACACATTTTCATAACATAAAAGAAAATTCCGAAAGTAACAAATCAATATTTTATTAAAATAAAACGGTTGGATTAAATTTGTTAATAGATGATTTCAAACTAAGAATAAAAAATAAATTAAAATGCATGTTAAGTGGGTGACAAAAACGCAAATGACTAAAATTATGTTAGAAGATTAGAAATTATATTACATAGAAAAGTTGAATAATAGGAATTGTAACTGTTAGATAAAAGTGGAATAAAATGAAAAGAAAAAAAATTATTAATGATGAATTTTGTAACGTCTTTTGGAGGGAAACGAAAATATTTTTATTAATCGCATTTGCTAGCAATTATATATATTTATATAATCAATCTTAATTGGAAAATATTGAAATTAATATTTATCAATAAAAAAATTCATCTATGAAGCGTATCATATGATATGAGTTAGAAAAAGTATTATAATATTGGACGGATGAGTCGTACAGGTGATAGTGTCATTTTAATAAAAATAAAAATGCAATTTTTAAGAAATATTTGAAATTTAGAATGAAAACTTCTATTTTTTAAGTAAAAATTTTTCAATGAACACCCGTGTACAACGGTGTTGCACTACTAGTATTTCTTAATTTCAGGATTTTTCTAGCACAAGCCATTTGGATGCAGATGAAAAACTTTTGAGATGGGTATAGATTATTGCAAGGGTGTTGTACAAAGCAAAGGACTTCGTAATATATAAATTTAAGGTTGAATAGCTTTGACATGGAGAGAATTTCAGGAATTGCCCGTTGCTTCACATTTGGTGGAAGAAGGAATAGTATGTTGTATGATCCCAACATTAAACCCCGACCAGATTTGTCTAAAGAAAAGTACATGAGTAAAGAGGAGCAAACAACGGTGAACCATTTTCATGAGAAGCTTCTCAAGTTGAAAGAGTTGATGAAAACCAAGGTTCGCTAATAATGTATTCGAACATTGTTAAGTGTGTTGAATCAAGTCTTTAGTATTATGCATTCTTTCACAGAAATTATTTTCTTATCGTTCCAACCTCTGTTTGATTTTGTTTTTCAGTGTGAATTTTGTTTTATGTCTAAGCGAAAAAACTTGGTGGTGAATGACAGGCTGGTCAGAAGAGGGCGGAAAGGAGGCACAAATTCATGGAAGGGTTTCTGGAAGAATTTTACCAAGAATGGGATGGAAGGGCTTGAAAGATGGGTAATTGGCTACCTTTCTGTTTACCTCCGTTCATTATGCTATTTCTAAGGTGTTCCAATTTGTGTCGATTTGTTTTCACTTTGAAGTTTTGGTGTGTATACTGAAATGCAAAAGTAACGAGCATCGCCATGCAAGATTTCAATTGTTTATCGACTTCATTATTTCACGCGGGATGTTTATATTTTCCTGCATAATCCGTTATTTGGAACCGTATGACTTGACTTAGTATAATTGGTATGGTTCTCTCTTGGAGAGTTGGAATATCGTTCCTCTCAAGAAGTACAATTATTAAATGGAAAAGAGTGACTTGCTTTTGAGCAAAGTTGAAAAGTGTTATTGCAAGAGTCAATCTAGTACTTAGAGCTCACTGTTTTTTCTTGGCATTATTGTACCTAAAGCATTTAAGTGACGGTCTTGTGTTATCACCTTCATAGTGCATACACCCACACCACCCTCAAGTACTCACTTATTGTGGGTAGGTTGGTAAAATAATAAATTCAAGATTCCACACAATTAAAAGTTGTCGCATTTTCAGCACATTCATGCATAAACTCTGCATTCGTTGTAATAAATGAAAATGGGTAAAGAATGCGTTAGCTTACGATAGCAGCTGCTGAGAGCCCCCACTGACACACTGCACGCATCACATGACGAATATGTACAAATGCACTCAGTTACCATTTAATTTTACCCCATTTCATATTTCTCTCTTTTTTTTTTTTTTTCC